TGGATGGGTCTTTGCCTGTCTAGCTATGTCCTTCCATTCAGATCTCTCTTGTGCCCTTCTTCTCCATTGTCTTATGTTCATTGTTTTCAGGTCGTCTTCCACGTCATCCAACCATCTCGTTCTGGGCCTTCCTATGGGCTTCCATTGTAACATTTTCTTTGTTGTTTTTGCATCGTTTTGTCTCTACACATGTCCCAGCCATGACAGTCTTTGACTTTTCACAAATCTTACAATGTCATGTCATAACCTTCATTTAACTCATTAACCTCGTCGTTTCTCCTGATTCTCCATGTGCCATCTTCCTTTTGTACCGGGCCATATACTTTCCTCAGTATTTTTCTCTCGAATGTCCTGAGTTGGGTTTCATCTTTTTTCGTCATTACCCAAGTTTCACATCCATAGGTTACTACGGGTCTAATCAGTGTTCTGTAGATAGTCATTTTGGTTCTTTTGTCTAATAATTTCGATGTCATCAATCTTTTATTAGCATAGTATGTACGATTCCCGCTGGAAATACATGCAATAATTTCGCTACTTACGGAGTTCTTCTGATTGATTTCTGTGCCGAGATATGTAAAGGCATCCACTCGTTCTATAGTATAGTTGTCTATTGTGATATTATTTTCATTGTCAGTTATTCTTTTGACTGTCATATACTTCGTTTATTTTGAGACTTTTATTTTCTTGCTTCAGGATCAATGTGTTTGAACAATTCCATTCTTCTTTAAGTTCCATCTTCTATCGAAGGTTGGAAATCATCATGGCTATGGGGACTCTGTTGACTGCCGCTCTAAAAAGTTCTGCACTACTGCATTCAAACCATTCCCTTAAGTTCTTAAGCCAGGATATTCTTCGTCTTCCCACATTTCGCTTTCCTCGGATTTTGCCCTGCATAATAAGTTGTAATAATGCGTATTTTTGCCCTCTCATCACATGTCCCAAGTACTCAAGTTTTCGTCTTTTAATAGTTAATATTATTTCCGCCTCATTTCCTATCCTTCTAGTTACTTCCATGTTTGACATTCTTCTTTGAATCCATGATATCCAACAATTCCATTAGTCGTGGCTTATTCCTACTAATGATGGCTACATCGTCTGCATATGCAGTAATTTGTACTGATTTGGTGTTTATATGGCCGGTTATATTGATTTTTCTGATGACTGCCTCAAGAACTAGGTTGAATACCATGGTTGATAGGGCATCTCCCTGTCTTACTCCCATGTTGAAGTTAAACAGGGGAGTCAGTTCTCCATCTACTCTGACTGCGGCTTTTGAACCCTGCAACGTAATTTTTATGAGGCTGATGTATTTCTTAGGTATACCTAGATTACAAAGGTCTTCCAGCATTCTGTCTCTTTTCACACTATCAAAAGCTTGTTTTCTCGCTTATTGGATTCATATTAACATTGAATGTCAGTGTTATAATTAACAGAAATGAGCAGATGAAATACGAAATTCTAAAGTTGTACGCAAAATATTAGAAGTTTTTATTCCAGCAATTAAAAATCTCAAAGCCACAGTAAAAGAGTGCCCCTAAGCGACGTTTTCCACGAGAAACTGAACAAATCTTACAAACATAACGGCATATTAACAATAAACTCAAACTTAAAAAACCTACGTACGTTTTAAAAGTTATTGCAATTATTTGATCTGTTGTAAAACTAGCGTTCTGCAATGAATAAAGAGCTTTTACTGTTATTTAATTGATTTTTTTTAATACTATATTCTCGTTTTATATTACGAAAATTACAGCAGTTAACTTTAAGAAACCTGCTACTTGGTCAAAATGGTTGAATATGTCGATGATTTTGTGGTTAGGTACAAACGAAATTGATACATTAACAATTACGAATGAAACATTGAAAAGTATTTTATCCGAAAATTATTTCACCCAAAACATGGATTACATGTTTTGATGGTATAAATAATGGTTGTCGTGATATTTATAACTCTGATCTATGTGGATATGCTGTAACAGACAAAAAAAGTCTAGCAAGCATGAAGCTTTTTAGCTGCTCAATGAATAGATCATTGAAAGATAAAAAAGACCAAAAACACAGATGTGACTTTAAGAATATTCTACGACAGACTTTTCTTTAGTAGATGGGTAAGGTTACTTCTAGCGCAGTGTGAGGCGTTGTTTATGCTGCCACTGTTCAATGAGTGTTGGCATGACAACAATGCGCAGTGGAGAGCATTGGTTGCATTACCCTAGTGGAACTATCTTTTTTAAACACGCCAGAAGTAACCTTTTTCATTTACTTCCTTTTAATTTAATTCCACAAATTTAAATTCCGTTTTCAATGTGGGGAAATTCAATTATTCCTTCCATTAACAATTATATATTATAAAAGTCAATATACTAAAGATAGGCATACATTGCGATTTGTATCAAGATCAAAGGAATTTATAATGAATTGTAAGGTTCCAAATACCGAATAAAGAAAGAATATTGTTGCAAGCGACTTTATACTTGCAACAATTCTATCAAATATGTAACCAATAAGTTAATAGGTGAACAAGTGTTCATGGGGAGTGAGACTACGGTTTGGTGGAAATAATCTTTCTTTCCATCACTTCAACAAAAAGTTGAAAAAGTTTCTTAGCTGTTTTCGTAATACAAAAACTAATCTTGCGATAACTAATCTTTGATTTATTTCTATTCATGATTCTCAAGAACAAAATCTTTGAAAACTTTCGAAGATAATTATTTTGTTTTTTTTTTTAGAAAATCCTTGTTCATATAAGTATTGTTTTTATATTCTTTTTGTATAAGTATTGAATGATGTAAGATATATGAACAGGGGTCGCCTACTTTGTTAATTTTTGGGGTAGGTTAAAACGTCAAAAAAATTCGTCATACTTAAAAAATGTCAAATATTTATTTACTCTATTTTCAGAATAAATACCGAAAAATCGTATCTCGAAGATAAAAATAACAAAAAAACAATATGTGGAACTATTATATACAACCAATCCTAAAAAATACTTGATGTTACCATACGTTCAATTCATTAATTTAAACATGAAAAATATCATTTGTGCTTAACTCCTAGACAATTTCGTTCCTCTAAATTAGAATGTCTGCAGGGGGGACCACTAAAGATAACTTAGATAAAAAATAAGTATCATTTATTTGAATATGTACAAACTACACAACTTAGTACACAGGATGTCTCTGCACCTAACCATCAGTATCCTCCAAACATTATTTTTGTAATACTTAATAACAACTCTGTAAAAACAGTGGTACAATAAAAAATGTGGTACCTCATGTAAACCCTTGCCGTTCTGTTATAAAAATTTAATGAATTGGGCTAAATTTTGGTAAGGGATTTTCACTAAAAAAGACAGGTCAACATGATTTGTTAGAACTACTATAATTTGTATGTAACTTTGTATAGGAATTCAACTAGTGTAATAGTTTTTCACTATCTTCTTTTTCTTTCCCACACAAGAACAAAGAGTTGTACAACCACTGGAAAGTTCCCAAAAAATTTCGGGATGATAAGAGGGTAAAATTCAATTAATTTATTTGAAGAATGCAATTTGGCTGACTTCAGAACGGTCAGCTAAATCCATATTTAATTAATCTATTCTTAATTATAGTGGTTAATATATTTTAATTATATTAACCTGTTTGGTGAACGGAGGCAAAGAGTTAGATATCGAGTCATCCTGTATAACAGAGAAAACAGACTAGAAACAGTGAACTTACATAAAGATGTATTACTTCGAAACTATAATAAATTAATACGAAATGTTTTATATAACTATTGTAAATGCATCGAGAACCTAACTTTAAAAAAATACTTACTGACTAATAGTAGAATCACATTTGTCAAGTATAAAATAATCGATTAAAAAATAATTCTATATTGTTAAATAACGTATACCTTGCAGACATTCCAATCCCGTAATCAAGAAAAAACACAGATTTTAGAGGTAAAAATTTCGATTTATATCCTATTTTCATTTTTAAATATATTAAATTTATCAACAACTTGAGCGGAGCTTAAAAATAGTCAACAGTTCTGTCTGTCTGGTAATATAGAACGATATGATAAATCTTCCATTTCTAAGAAAAAAACAGAAACTATAGTTACCTTATCTGATGAACATTTGTTAAACTAAAATTTTCGCTTATTCAAAAAAATTCGTCTAATATATCATAGCTAATTTGATTACAATGGGTATTGACAACTCGATAGGCAAAGACAACAACCAACAATATCTGCGAAAATAACATACTGCCAAAAATACATATACTGGCTTGTTGTATTTCCCAAACACAGGATAAACATAACAGCAAAGCAACAAGAATATCAGAAGATATTCAAAGGATGAATATACTTCAGTATATTTTAAGCTTTAATTGATCTACCTACCGTCTACATCAGATCTAGATCAATTTGTGTTTACCCAAATTGGAATTATTTCATATTTAGTTATTATATTAATTTACAAAGTATTTATAGTTGGTTATTGTCGATCGCCTTTCACTAATTCGATTATCAAGTTCAGAAATAAACTAATCAAATATTTATTAAAAAAAATTAAAATAAACAGAGAACAACAAGAGTAAGTCCGTTCGTGCAGTAGCGGACATCAACTACAACAGTGATGCTAAACTAACAGATGGTGAAGATGCCGGTGAATCATTTGTCTGTCTAATCAGAGTAATTGAGTTTGGCAGGAGTGACCAGTCCGGCTGCTCTCTTCATGTTTATCAAGCCAACACGTTTCCAACTGTTATAACATATACCCATATTATTTAAGTTGTTGACATGCTTCAATGTGACTCCTGCGGTAGGTTCCGCCAACCAGCCCGACTGTTCCATATCGGAAGGAAAAATAGTGGTTTTGAAAAAGATTCTAATATTTTTTGGAACTGTGTTGTTGAGCGGAATCTGTGTAGGAGTCACACTGGCTGTATAGAGATTATCAAAAGGTTGTCAAGAACTGGGCCACTCTTTAAAATCATTGAAATGTTTAGCACCTGGATTTGGGGGTTGCGATGAATATCCTCCTACTTGGGAGCCTGCGTCACTGCCATACGACCTTGGTGGGGCGCCGTAGCCTGCTTCGGTCGAATACGATCCGTAACCTGCATAATTGTAGTCAGATCCGGGCTTTGAATTGGTGCCTGACGATGACATGTTGGGGGGGCCACTCGGTGTACCAGGACCAGCAGGTCCCGATTGCCCTCTGGAGTACATATCGCCAGCGATGTAGCCTGCAAGGGAAATATCTTTTAGTCAGTTGCATTCCGTTCAAATACAATGTATATTTCATAAATGCCCAAAAGTTCTTAGGACCATTAGCTACATGATTACGTAAGTTAAACAAAACTAATAGAGGAGAAATGTTAAATTCATCACACACGACATTAGCTATCTTGGAAGAAGAACGTCACATGTCAAAATGTGAAAATTTTCAAAAATTGCCACTTAAGACCGATTAATTTTAAAAATATAAAACTTTACCCAAACTGCGAATAGGCTACTATTTGGGCTTTGGAATGTACCACACTGTAAACATCTATAGTCTATTCCATACTTCCTTAATCCTATTTTAGGCCATACAATTTTTTATTTGTGTCGTTTTAAAAAAATAATAATTAAATATTTGGAGATAATTCACTTCGTTATTAAAATTGTTTTGTTATTTTTTACAAATGTATATACAAATAAGAACAAAGATGCTCTAGTGTAAAAACTTGTCTTCATTTGAAAATTCCTTCTTTAACTTTCCACAATACACTCCTTTTTGTTTTTGAGAGAAGTCAACTTTAGTAGCATGTGTATACCTAAACCTTTGAGACAATTTCATAATCTGAAATAATTCCAATTGGATTTATCTTTTTAAGTGTGTCTTAAGTCGAAATAATTTGTAGATGGCTGTGTTCAAAAATAAAAAAGTTCTAATAATTTTCTTAATTACTGACAACTCAAAAGAATACTACAACTCGTTTTAAATATAACCATAACTTCTTTGCATGACTGACATAACCCAAAATAATGCATTATTCTTTACAGAAAGTATTGTATTATCTTATTGTGTTTTCGAAAAAGGATAGCATATTTTAAAATGACATTATTATGCAAAATGTTGAACCAACTTTTCAATTAACAATTAATAATAACGAAACTTCTGTCCACTGATGGTCATGAAGTATGAACTATCTTCATTATGTTATCATACAAAAAAAATACAGAATATTTTAAACGTGTTCACTAACATAGTCCAGTTTTTACTTTTTTGAAATATGGCAGTCTTCCTCCAAGGTAGCGATATGCTCTATTACTAAATAAAGAACCCAACACATGTTTAAGATGGGTAGACATTATGGTAAACAAAATAAAACATTCCGTCTCAAAAATGGCCGCGCAGGCATTTGAATACCATAAGTCAATCACACACAATGAATACACCACAGTGAAACCATAATCGTGGTGAAGGAGCTCTTCGTTGTTGCCAATTCTGTGAGGTGAGTATGATCAAGTAGGAACTAAGGACCCTCAGGTTCCCATTTCCTTGTGGGGCACAAATGGACAAGGAATAACCAAAAACTCTGAGTAAGCTCAACATCGAGCGAAAAGGTCCAATGAACGATTAAGTTGCGTAACAACATACCTCTTGAAGTAAGGGCTTTGGCCCAAAAAGCTCAATAGTAACCACTAAAGGTATATTGGTCATAGTATTACATACAATACCAAAGGATGACAAGAACACATAAAGCAGGGGAAGATATGATTCAGGAAACACGAGGCACAAAACTAATAAACTATACATAGGAAGAAAACTTATTCTGAGTGAATATATGGTTGAAAAAATCATCAATACATGAAATAGACTTCAGATTAAAATACAAACCATATAAGAGGGCATCAATAAACCTCCAAATATTAAAAGCAAAATACAGTATATCACTTTTCGAAGTACTAGAAAACAATCTAAAGTCAATATTGGAACTGTTAAGCACAAAGACCACATGAACTAGAAGGAATAAGAAGAATAGGTATATATACCATTTTTCAAAGTAAAACACTTGCACATTACGATTTATACAAAGTGACGTCACTTGTATTTAAAATTTCCAGAACATCAACCTTAGTAGTTCAAATTTTCCTAACACAGCTAATAATACGAAACCCATACGGAACTGCTCGATCTTTCCATAGGCGTCAACATGGTGTAAATAATCAGAAAAATGTAATCATCATTATATTAAAAATTTTAGAATTATATTGATTAAATATCCAAAAACATTTGTTAGTTATGAAATAACTCTTCTAACAAGTCTAATATTCCACAAAATAATAATTTTAATTAAATATATTAGACAATTGTACGCAACAGATACGGAAATACTTTAAATTTTATTGATAGTTAAGCGTGTGGTAAAAGTGTATAAAGTGTTGCCGCTTTTTTAGAGTAGGAATCTTGTTTATGTTTTGATTTCTTACATTAATTTGATTATAATATTGGTTAAATTTCATAACATTTAACCAGAACATTATCATTATAAAATTCCAATGCCGGACCTGTATATTCGAAAAATGCTGGTTCAGCTTGACGTCACTTGGGTTGCGTTAGCTATGATCCGGATACTCATTTCGGCTTTTGGGTTCGTTAGCTATGACCCGGAAACTCGTTGTCGGCTCTTTCAGCGTGGGCGCATAGAGAGCTCAGAGTAGCGTTCCAATCTTAACACTGTACACATCTCCACTCGTAGTATTTTGTTGGTTTTTGTTTTTTATTACGTACGAGTGGAATTAAACGTTCATAAACGGCTAACATGTGGTCGTATATCTTTTAAAACATTTTTCTTATATAACAAGTAATGGTTTCAACGTGTTTTTCATCAATGTTTTGTAAATAGCTATATAAAGTGCTTCGTAAAAGACTTTTAAGTGCAAAAGTGAGGTTTAAGTGACAAGTTCTCATCTGTTTTACGTGACCAAATGAACTTACATCAAGAATCGAACTATCTAACCTGCATTTTTTTTGTAAAACTATTCCGAACTTAAACATTTTCAGTTTCTCTCAATAAAATCTAGTGAAAATTCAATTTAAAGGGTTTTCATTTATTTAAACTCAAAGAAGAAATACCTTTCCAAGGAAATATTAGAAGAGCAAAGGGGTTATTACCTCAAGGAAGAACCTGATAATATCACACATGTTACCTTACCCGCAATTTCTTGGCATACCAGCAACCTAGAAGGAAATATAGAACATCACATCAAATTAATATGAGACAAACCCTCATATTTTATTCATGGTCAGCTTCGAGCCGGATCGACTTTTTGATGTCAAGGAAAGCGGAACTTTCGTTTGAGGTACTGTACAAGCATTTTTTAACAAACTATTAGTGTTTCTTCAAATAAACTTTGCCTTCTTCGAATCATAAACATTTTTTATCAATTTTTTTGTGAGTTTAGAATCATAAACATTTTTTATATCAACTTTTTTTTGTGATTTTAACATCGGGAATGTACTATAGTAACTTGGCAAATTTTTGTATGTTACAATTTTAAATGTATAATCTTTAAACTAACATAAGTGGAACAATTAAGATTGTTTTTGCTTTTTAAAACAAGTGTTCTTTTTTGTAAAACATCTTTTAATTGCATTTTAATTAAAATTGCAAATAATTTAAATTTAAACACAATTTGCTAGGAATTTGCATGTCAAACATTTTTTTTATGCATTTGTGGAACTTAGATTTTTGTTAAAAATTTATTTAAAATTTTCAAAAAGTTTTTTGTTCCTTAGCAGATTGAAATACAATGTTCTAGGGGACCGTATCGCCAATTTTTTTTTGATATTTTAACTTAGAGCGATTTTCAAAAAAAAAAACATTATCAACCATTTTTGTTTTTCACTCCTAAGTTGACTCCAGGATATTAAAGCAGTAACAAATATTAAATATGGCATCAATCGATGAATTTAAGAAAATCAGATCCATTTCAAAGTCACAATTCACCAGGGTCGAAAATTGGATCAAAGCTAACGTAAATTGCACTGATAAGATTCAAATAGTATCAAAATTGGAAACTTTAAAAACATATTTCATCAAATATTGTGAAGCTCAAGATGAAATTGAGTATCTTGATCCTAAAGACAATGACAGAGAAATTACAGAAACCAAGTATTTCACGTTATTTTCAACTTTAGACTCGATTTTTTCTAAACTAACTGCTCCTATAGTAACTTCAACTCCCAAGTCTCAGACTACAGCTATAGCTTCACGTCTGAAACTTCCGGAGATTCAAATTCCCAAGTTTTCAGGGATAATCTAGAATACAAATCCTTTATCAATCTTTTCAATGCTTTAATCACGAACAATTCTAATCTGGGGTCACCTTCGGAGAAACTTTTTTATCTGAGATCACATTTAAGTGGGGAAGCTCTCAAACTGATTGAGAATTTAGAGATTTCAGATGACAATTTCACAGTTGCATTGAATTTTTAGATTCAAAATACAACAATATCAGACAAGTTTTATCAAACCATTTTCAGCAACTGTTGAAGGCACCTGAAATAACCAAAACTTCCCTAAGCACGTTGAAACCATTTATTACAAATACACAATCTATCTATGAATCATTACTCACTTTGGGTCATCAACAAGACACGCTCTTTGAGGCTTTAATTACTCAAATACTAACTTCTAAACTAGATTTTCAATCGCGAAAAGCTTTCGAAGAGCAAGCAACACCAAACTCTCTTAGTACCCCAGCTCAACTTTTTGATTTTTTAAATAGACGTTGTACGGTATTGGAAGCGGTACAAACAGAGGTACAACCGGGAAGCCCACATCATGAGAGGAAATTTAAACAAAGTAGGACTTCACCAACAAAGTCTAGTTTACCCAAAGTGTCTTTGCATACTGCTAATCAACTATCAAACACAAACCATCAATCTAACAGAAACTATCAATCAAACAACAGCCAACAATCAAACATAAACAATCAATCTATCAACAATTCACCAGGTAAAAAAGTAACTTGTGCGATGTGCAGCGAATCTACTCATAGGATTAATTCATGCCCTAAATTTTTATCATTGTCCATAATCGATAGACAAACATACATCAATCAAAACAGATTATGCATTAATTGTTTAGGTCGAAATCATGCGGCCACAACCTGTTTATCTAGATCAAATTGTTCTTATTGTAATAAAAGACATAATTCATTATTACACGAATCATCTTTATCAAATGCTACT